CAGATAGGTGTTATACAAAGTCTCGTGGTGATGTTTGGCAATGAGATGTTGTTGACTTCTCTACTAACGTGTCTGATCATGTCTTCATCAGTGGCTCTACTGTTCGTTGCGCCAGTGTTGCCAACACGGTGGCATGTTAGTGTTAGATCTCTTCTGGTTCTAGTCTTCATTGCATCCTTCACACTGCTGATGAAAACTAGAGTGTTCACTGCTAATCAAGATGTAAGTGGCCTTGAACTTTTGTTTGTGAAATTATTTGTTTGTTTACAGTTTCGTTAATACTTTTGCATCCCTAAAATTTATTCAGAATGTTTTTAGTTTCTAAGGAATCTTACACAATGTTAGCATGTAGTATGTTTTTACCAATTGATTCACATTAACTTGGGCTGTTTACGACGAGGGTGATACAGTTTTAAAGCTTATTTCAGTATCTCGGATCATCAAAGATTTTTTATCATAAGCTGATATATTTTAAAGCTTATTTTTATTATTTTCTTTCTATGCTTTTATGTTTTAAATTCTTACACATTTGTCAGACTTTAATTAGTTTAATAGTACTAATTCCTCTACAGAATTTTATCTTATGAGACAGTAAAATAATTTTAATTTTGTTAGGTACAGTTTGCCATAACAGCAAAATATAACAAAACCCTCTCTTACATCTTCTTTCCTCCCAGCAAAACTGTATACACATTGTGAAAGTTTACGGAATCCGTAGATTCTTTGTAAAATGCACCTATAATCACACATTTTACTATCGTTTTCTGTTCTTATTGTTATAGTACCTGCAAAAAACTTCTTTAGTAAGAAAAGAAATTTTTGTGTTCATAAGCATGATGAAAAGAATGATAAATAAAACTAGGCATCGTTGGACCAATAAATAATCTTTGAGGCTTCGAAAGTTGACTTTGGTTTGCAACACACCCTTTCTATCCATGATTTCCTTTAATATTTCAACCAACTTGCAATGTATTCTATCTTTTCAGGCTCATGTGTTGAATATATTGAAGTCAAAGATCAGCAGCTACAAGGACTTCCACACACTGTTGTACACCTGTGCTGTGGAGTTTGATGTCCTCGGTTGGGAACCGATCATGAAGCTGTTTGAGACGTGGCTGCTACCAGCTGTGTGTCTAGTGCTCTTGCTGGTCAGCACACATTGGGCCCAGCGGGCGTTGGTATTCAGGTAAATAGGCTAACCTCATTTTTTTACATGGCAAGAAGTTATGTTAATTCCGCTTTATAGCTTTAAAATAATATAATGATGTTCGATACCATGAATTTCTAATCTCAAAATAGTTATCATCATCATTTTATTCCATATAATGTACATTTTTTGGTACATGAAATATCTAGTTTTCTTAATGATTTTAAAAAGTTATTTGGGTTTTTTCTAATTCTAAAGTTTCTAGAAGGTGGTGTAAATTTTTTTCCCTAAATAGCTAGTTTTCTTCTTATAAAATTCCAAATTGTGCTGCTCTTTGAATTGGTATGATCTTGTGTTCTATTTATGAACATTGTTACCTAATGCAATTTTATCATTGATCAAAACAAGTTTTATTGACTCATAATTGAAAAGACTGTTGACTGTGAATACTTTCAGTATACTAAACCCCTCAATGCCCTTTTTTGATGGAGCAAAACTTTGTCCATGTTTTTTTGTAGTCGATCCATTGACAAAAATGCCATAGGCAATGTGTGAATGAATTAATGCATAATAGATTGCTTTTTAAATTTCAATATTACATGACAAAGCCATTTTCCTCAACGCGTAAAGGCTGCTAGATGTTATTCGAACAAGATTATTAATAATATTATGATTATCCCATGCTAGATTCTCATCTATGATTAGACCATAGACAAACCTAAAAATGATGCGTCTTCTAATTAGTTCAATACTTGATTATCAACAAATATTGTGTTATAGATCATATATTTATTTTATAGATCATAGCGTATACGAGCCTAATAAATAATTTTGATGGTTCACTTGCACTACAAGCTCGTATACACTACGAGCCTTTATCTATATATTAATAGGCATATAAAAATAATGAAGAGGGTTCACTTACTCTACAGATCGTAGTGCATATGAGCCAAGCGAACAATTTATTTGATAATTCAGATTGTAAATTAAATAAAGTTAAAAAAAAAAATTAATCAGCTTGTAGTGTATAGGAGCCAAAATACTGAATTTAAATTGACCATAAAAATCATCTTTCTCGTCATCACTCTTATTCTCCATTGCAACATAAATGTTTAACACAGATAGGTTTTTAAATTTCCTTTTAATCTTTCATAGCAAAGTCTTTCAATCACAACCTCAAATTTGACAATATTTTTGTCAAAAAAGAATATCTACAATCTTTTTATTCATGGCTAATCCCATTCCTGCTTGATGTATGTCATCATCTCTATCACTGTCGTTTAACATAAAACTTCCAGCGTTAATAATTCCATTAAATGGTCACCTACTTTCCTGCAGGGCTACCACATCCATTTTGTACTTTTCCAGTTCCCTGCTAATGATGTCCACAGCACCTGTCATAGCCAGAGAGCGAACGTTCCACCTTCATATCTCAAGTCCTTATGACGCATCTAAGGTCGTTGTCCGATGTGATCCATCTTCCCCGAGGCATTTCATAGGCGATTCGTAACCAGGGTTGTTTTACAAGGGAGGGTGGTTAGCCCATCACCTCAACCCCCAATATGAATGGAGGACCTCACCTACTTCTGGTCAGCGGGTCCATCGGACCTAGCCGGGAGATCTGACAAGCAGATCCACCGACCTTCCCCCTATCCGCCACCCAGGGGACGCTCCGTATACGCTGAAGTAGGAAAGCGCACGGATACTTTATTACAAGATACATAAAATACTAACACTAGGTACAAAGATACTTAATACTAGATAGATACATTGCATACTTAAAACTAAAAAGTTGGTTCTAACTCATACTGTTCCATCTTCTTCAGGACTTGCCCCACGTGTCTTCAATTGGCTCACAGTGTGGTCAGTGTTGTTGCAGAACTCTTCAGGTTCTTCCTCTTGGAGTTTCTCCTCAGAGATTCAATTTCATCATCCATGGTTGCATTATGTCCTACATTTCATCATGTTTATCAAACATTTTTCCATGGCAAATCCTTTGGCACTTTACTAGGGGTGTGCGAATAGTGATTTTTAGGTTCGAGCCGAGCCGAGCCGAACTTAAGCAAAAAGTTCCGAGCTTCGAGCTTTTTCGAGCCGAACCTTAACCTTCTAAAGTTTGTGGTATATTCCTGTTTTTACGCAAAAATAAAGATACAAAATACATGTAATTGTTTAAACTTACTCAAATAGGTGTTTAATAAGTAAGTATTTTACCAAGCCCCTATATATTCAATGAGTTTGCTTATCCTACTAGGCCTATTTATTAAAGGTTTAATGGGAAATACAAGATAACATTCTTAATAAAAATGCAAATTTATTTTATACAAGTAAATAATATATCAATACAAAACAATAGATTTATCTTGGAAATATAGCCTATTTGAAAATTAACCAAACATTGGAAACTGAGATCAAGTTGATAATGCCAAAACTAGGAGATGAAAAAATAACGGTAACAATAACACATGAATAGATAATGTAACAAATAAAAATCCATACTAAAGATTAGGATACACACTTTACCCTGACACTACATTTTAATTTCCTAAAAAGGAAGTATTTTGTTGAAATTAATACAACTCCTTAAATCATCTTAACAAATTAAATCAACAGCTACCTACTATAAAATAAACAACATAAAACCGAGATCAAAATGAAAATGACTAGGCTATATTATTTAAGGAATATCGATGAAAACAATTAACAGTGTAATAAATAAAAAACTATACAACAAACTGTTGTATGGTATCTTGCATACTCGAAAATGAAACAAACTTTGAAAGTGATATCCAATTAAAAATGCCAAAACTAAGAGATGAAATAATTTTTTTTAAATAATAACTGGTAGCAATATTACATAAATAAATAATGTAACCAAAAAGATACACTTCAAAACCCTGCATCAACATTTTACCAAGCAAAAAAAGGCAGTGGTTATTGAAATTATAGGCCTACAAAATGTTAAATCATCTTAAACATTTAATCATAAGATAATACTAGAAAATTAGGAACATGAAACTGAGATCAAGATGAAAATGTTCAGCCCATGTTATTTTAGGCAAGTAATAAAAACATTAACAGCTAAACAAATAAAAAATACATAAGAAACCGTTGTGAATATAAAAATATTTTTAAGCCTACGTACAGTAAATAGATAACTCAATCAGGAAACTACTTCCTTACGCAAAAGATATAGCCTAACTTAGAACTTTAGCATTTTTTATCTGCTATATTAGGCTATATTTCAAATGAGTACTAGGCAGTGCCTTGTTTCAGGTGTGTAAGCCTATTTTGTAAAATTGAATTGGCTATAACTAACCCAAAAGTATGGTAATCGAAAGCCACTTGGCCTATGGTAAAGATAGTTACTGAGATCAAGAGAAAGTTACAGCAGTAAAACATGAACACTCAAAAACTATCTAAATTTAACAAAAATTATTGAATGGATAACATAACCACGCATGTAGAAAATAATTATATTATAGCCTACTATAAAAATATAAATATACCAAACAAACACTCAACATCTTGAATATAAAAATATAACCTAGACCTAAACAGATAACTCAACCTGTAACCAGATAACAACAAAACTAATTGAATGGATAACTTAACCATGTATGTAGAAAATAATTATATTGCACTATAAAAATATAGGCCTACCAAACACTCAACATTTTGTATTTCCAGAGTTCATGAAAAAGTGTGGTTATGTTTATAATGTTTCATGTAACATGAAAATGAACGCCAATGGCAGTTAGTTAGCTTAGTTAGCGTTTGTACTTTGTATCATAAAATGATATTGATTTGAGATTGTGAGGGTGCATAACCATGACCCAAACGTCCCTTGTGCATTTTCGAAATATCTTAAATATCTATATTATGGTGCAAAAAAACCAATTCACTAATGTGTTCCTGGGTTAAACACCTGCGCCTTTCATTCACCACATTTCCGGCACTCGAGAAGATTCTCTCACTTGCTACTTCAGTGGCAGGAATCCCCAGATAACGCTTTGCAACTGAAGCGATTGGTCCATATAATTGAGAATGCTGTTTCCACCATGAACATGGATTTTCTTGCATTGGTATGCAAGGAGAATTTATGTAGGCCTGGACATGTTGTTTCACTGCATCTTCTTTTGAACTCGGTCTGGTTCTTTGTGAGAGAGACTGGAGGTGACCCCATAATGACATCTCTGGTAGACCCTCTGAAAAGAGTACAGAAGGTTGATACTTGTTCAACTTGATAGGTTTTCATGAGTAAAAGTTGTAAAATGCCAATAGGCCTACAACAATAAAGACAATATTGACAAAAAGAAAATGCCCTCTTAAATCCTTCCAAAATTCCCGCCTTTTGGCTAACGCAATAAGAAAACATTTTTTTTTACTCAGTAAACTAATCAAGCTGTTACTACATCCAGTACTCTCATAGAACATTACATTCAGTGTAATTGTCAAAGCCTCAACAAACTCTTGTGTAGAGCATTATAAAATTAATGTTTTCATTTTTTATATAAACTAGTAGGGCAAAGATTTGGCCCTAACTTTATAATTTTAGCCATTCTGCTGACTAAAAATATACTAGGCCTAAATACAACTAGGTCTTACCCTAAAGCTTGTACTGACCTTTTGGACCACCAGAAGTAGAAGAACCTATGGATGCTGGTGGGTTATCTTCAGCGTAGAAACTCATTGCTTCCCTCTCCAATAAGTCAATTGCAAGCTTCTTGTTGATATCATCTAGGATTAGTGCCTTATACCTCGGATCAACCAGCATTGCCAATTGATAATGTTTGCTAAGTAGATATTCATCTGGCGGAAATCTTGCATTGATTGCCTTGTCAAGGGCCCTAGCGAACATTGTGCCTCTTGCCCCAGATGTAATGAATTGTCTAATGACAGTTCTTATTCCATCAATCAGAGGTAGTACTGTTGATAACGTTGGAAGATAGCCACTGGAAGATAATTTTGTGGCATCATCAAGTGGTTTCAATATATGTATATAGCCTTCAGCCAAGTCCCATTCGGTAGAAGTGAGGTTGTTAGGTTTTATTGATGTCGATAGTTCAGCTGAAATTGCCTGCTTTAGAGTAACAAGACGAGAAAGCATGTTGTATTCAGAATTCCATCTTGTCTCGCAGTCTTGAACAAGTTGGAGGGGAGTTTTGCCTAATTGTTGTTGTAATTTGTTTAGTCTGGTATTTGCGGAAGAACTATGCTTGTAGTGGCTGACAATAGCCCTAGCTTTGGCCAGCATGTGTAGCATACCAGGAACATCTTTTTTAGCATCGCTGAGTGCTAACTGAAGGGTGTGCGCAAAACACCGTATATGCGTCCATGGTGTCATCGACGCTGCACTGACCATATTGGCAGCGTTGTCTGTTACACAAAAAACTGGAATAGTACAATCAGTTCCTTGTTGATGATTCCAATCATTTAGTAATTCCATCAATTTAGAAGAAATATTTATAGCGTTATGTTCTTCGGGGAAATGAGAATTACTCAAGCAATAAGATTTTATATTGAAATCTAGATCAACAAAGTGGCCTGTCAGGGAGATAAATGAATCGTTTGCTGCGGATGTTCAGATATCAGAGGTCAGAGATAAGGATTTTAAATCCTGCATTGTATTTTTAAAATCATTTGATATTTTTACTTTTGTCTCTTTGAAAAGATCCGGTATAACACTGCGAGAAAAGGTCGTTCTTGAAGGTATTTGATATCTGGGTTCCACAATACCCATTAGGTTTCTGAAACCATCTTCCTCAACCAAAGTATATGGATGGAAACTTTTGGCCATCCACTTTCCAATTGCCTTGGTTATCAGTTGCGATCTGGGATGGTTGGAAGATAATTTCTCAGTTGTTCTAAAATGCTCATCTATTTTAAGTTGCTTAGGGGCTGTAGGCCTAGGCATTTTAGACCTTTTTTGTTCAGCTTTTAAACTTAAAAATCCCTTCTGTTCTGTGTCATATTGTTTATATATGTTAGCATGTTTATTTTCCAAATGTCTTATTATAGACGATGTAGTCCCTGTAGGAGTTTTGAAGGTTTTTTTGCAACTATTACATTTTGCTTCTTTGGAGCTTGTCTTAGTAAAATATTTCCAAATAATGGCCTGACCAACTGGTTGTGTAATACTAGAACTAGGCCTAGGACTAACTGGGTTGATCACTTCAACAGAAGTACTTGTAGAAGGTCCAGCTGGTGGGTCATCAATGCATTGTTCATCTTCACTATCCATCTTGTAATTTGAACGAAACTCGGTAAACTAAACAAAAGGTCAGGCCTTAAAAACTACAAATACAATCGAAATTAATTAAACTCGCTACGTCCAAACTGTTCTAATTGTACTTTCATTACACGACGTGACTAGAGAAATACACGCACTTCCTACATTTTGGGCGAAACTATTTTTGTAACAAACTACTTTATAAAATAACAAATAAATTATAACAATGTTACGACTAGAGAAAGATAAAAAATTTTAAAAGTAAACAAACACTAAACAGAGATAACAGTCAAGAAGTAAAACCAAAAACAATAACAACAAACAACGATTCAGAAACGAAACGGCAACACGCAATATGATTTTTTCACATTCGTGCAGTACAAAGTAAAACCAAATGCAATCTTTAACCATTGATTATAGTACCTTTATAACATAATAAGCGTAACGTCAACAATTATGTGATTAAAATCATTGACGAAGCAATTGCTTTATACGAAGTTGGTCAATCATAACGATTTTAATGGAATAAAAAATCCACAAATATTATATACTAATATGGTTGTACCGTCAACCCGCCACCAAGCACGAAGGCACTAACGTGCCACCCCGACAATCCGCCACCACACGGAAGAGGTGCCACCACGACAACGTGCACCACATCAACCCGCAACCATTGATTATACTTCTTCCCCAAGATGTATAATCAATGATGCAACCCTAAACTGCTTCTTCTTGTTGGTGGTTGGTTGATGTGGTGTCATCTTGACGCGTTCCCGCTTTGTCAATGCTAATACCACGAATATTAAAACCACGGCCGCCTCTAACTACAGGCCGCGGCCTTCGAACTGGCAACGTCGCAAGTGGTGTTGTAACAGCTGTTTTTGTTTGGAAGCAGCTAATGGTATTTGTGTATTTACGAACGAATGGTTACTGGACTATGACATTATTGACTCCGCTTAAAAATCTACAGATAAATTCATATTGTTTCGGTTTTCAATTCTGTATGTTTTATTTTCAATATTTTAATAAATTTATATTAATAAATTTAAATCAATAAAGTGCGATTTAATGAGCTAATGTCACATGTCTGCCATGTTATCTTATCGGACGTCTGTCACTGAACAACACCACTTGCGATGTGTTGCCAATTCGACCAGACCGCGGCCTGTAGTTAAAGGCGGCCATGATTAAAACAGACACGGTATTGTTCATAAACATAAACAAATGTGTTACTGGCTGGAAAGTGCAAATTTAAAATAGCTTAAAATGATTTGTCCAAACCATGTTGTTATTAGCACTCGATCCGGACCAGTTACGTCATTTGTTTACATTGTCGATTTTATAACAAAGTCGCCGTTCCAGTGCTTCTCAATCCAGTATTCTTTCTCACTCAGTCTCAGTTTAGTGTCCAATCCAAACATTGCAGCAAAAATGATGTGCAGTGTCGACGGCAGTGGCATTGGCTAGTTGATTTAGTCAGCTGATTTCGTCTTGTCATTGCGTAATTCTTTCGTTGGTTGCAGTGTTTCCATTCGCGGGATTATTATCCCGAAAACGGGATTTTTAGACCATGAGCGGGATTAAAACGGGATGCGGGATAAAACGGGATTTTCAGCTGTGACGACTATTTTAATTTTTTTTCTACTCAATTTTAGAGAAAAATTTATTTATTTATTTATTTATTCATATCAACGGATACACCATTTACAAAATATGTGTTTTAAGCACATGAGCAGAATGAAAAGATAACAACAAAAAATACAAGATAAGTAACATAATGACCATGAATCAAATAAGCAGCTTTGCAACAAAATTATAACAAGAAAACAACAACGTGGCAAAAATTACAGATAATAACATTAACAAAGTATTGTACAGATAATAACAAAAAAAAAATTAATATTAATTTGGATTTCAGAAAAAGCATATGATTTTGAAAGCAACAACAACAAATATCTCCTCAAGATTTAACAAAATATAAACTATGATGACATTAAGTTCAACGTGAAAAAATAACAACAAACAACAATAAATCTATGAATGAATAACAAGAATGAAAGAGATTTAGGAAAAACAAACAAACATCAGCTACAAAACAGGCATAACAAAGATAATGTTGGAGCATTTTCTTCTGAAGGAAGACAACTGTTCATTGAAGAAGTCAACTTGTGACCCGACTTCGTTTCCAAGACGCTGCAATCTTAATTAACTCAATTGTTTAAATACTGTAGCAAAATATAATAGTGATGTTTAAACAACTTATAAAAATGATACGTAAAGTTTAATACTACGTATTGTACCAAAAAAATCATGCGGGATAAAACGGGATTTTTCACGAATTTAAAAGCGGGATAAAACGGGATTTCTCGACCCAGTAAGCGGGATTATTTTTTTTGTCGTGTGGAAACACTGGTTGGTTGGTTCTTCTGTTCTTCTTCGTTCTTCAGTTCAGTTCGGTATTTACTGAGCAAACATCGTGTAATGATGTAGGCTATGCTTATCGAATTACATATTGACACAATTATGAAACGGAGATTAAATTTAAATGAAAGTTAGTTCCTTATTTCCTATTTTAAGTTTTATTTGCTAGTTCAAAAAGTATTCGGCTCGAACATTTCGAACTTTTTGAAAATCACGAGCCGAGCCGAATAGGACGCTATTCGGCTCGAAAAAGCTCGATGTTCGAATACTCGCACACCCCTACACTTTACTCTACTAAACAATCCTTTCAACTATGCGGATACTTTTGGTTTTACTGAAGCAATACAACACATTATCAGGCCTCCAAGAAGTTCTACAGTATAACATACCATTTTCCCTGGAGTTGCTGCTTGGTTGTTTACTATTGTGACCCTCTGCTAGTTCTTATGTAGTGAAAAGAACGGAATAATTCTGCCAAGTTTTCACTGATGTTTTATCTTCCAGGCCTGCTCTACATAGTACCCTCTGAATGGGGCAAATAGACTTAACTTTCTTGAACCTGTTTTCTTCCTCTAAATAATTTTTACAGGAGGAATCATTTTCATCTTGCAATCTTTTTCTGTGTTAGGGAATGAATAAAATAAATGGTTTCTATGGAAACATATAATTACTGTCAGTATGCCATTGTTCAAGATCCTTAACCCGGGAGGACTCACATGCAGGTTTAAAAGACCGGATTGATAATAATTTTAGTAAAACTTGTATTTAATGGGCCTCGGTGGTATTCATCGCCACCGTACCTCACCCGAATCTTTCTAGGAACAACATGAATAATTTCCCACTCTCCCCCTTCTCCTAGATTTAGTGTCTTGTATTTTTGCGAAAAGGACTGGTCAGTTCGACCGTGTGTGAGTGACGGAGTTAGTGTGATGCCGGTTTGTTCGACTAGCGTCTCAGGGTCCTGGTCAGAAACCGATGAGAACCTCTTCTGCGAAGGAGTGGGGGATTGTGGGAGAGCCCCTCATGTCAATTTAAGAAAAATTCTTAAATTAATTTTATGAAATTAAACTTTTATAACCGAACCTAACCAACCAAACTTGGTGATAATATCAAAAAGATATAAGATAAAAATCTAATGAAGGTTTAGTAATAAAAAAAGTTCTGTTCATAAAATTTTTTATTTTTGCAAATATTTTGATAAAACTTTTTTCTAGCGTTGTATTACAATTGCCTGTATTAAAATATAATATTTATAAAGGTTTGAATGGATTTATTTTAATGTTTCCAAATGTAAGTAAAAAAATAAAAATAAATAAATAACAACCTTATTTTATCAATATTTGTGTTATTTTTTATTAC